AGGGACCACATTACACCTGTTCTGGCTGCCTTACACTGGCTCCCTATAGAACACAGGATATCATTTAAAATTCTTCTTCTCGCCTACAAAGCCCTTAATGGGCAGGCGCCATCTTACCTTAAATAACTCATTATACCCTACTGTCCTACTAGGGCATTGCGTTCCAAGAATGCAGGGTTGTTGGTTGTTCCTAGAGTCTCTAAAAGTACAATGGGAGCCAGAGCCTTTTCTTATCAAGCTCCACATTTGTGGAATCAGCTTCCAGTTTGTGTTCGGGCGGCAGACACCCTATCCGTTTTTAAGAGTGCGCTTAAGACCTTCCTTTTTGATAAAGCTTATAGTTAGGGCTGATTAGATTCAGCCCCTAGTTTTGCTGATATAGGCTTAGTTTGTCGGGGGACATCTTACTTCTTCCTTCTCTCTGTCTATACCTGTGTACTCTCATGTTCCGATTAACCCAGCTTCCCCAAATGTCTTTCTTTTTGGTGTCTATATACGCCGGGATCCGGAGTCATGGATGATCCTGCGCTCCTGTGTCCTGCATCGCGAGCCCTGGATCTTGAGTCGTGGCTGTGGTCCTGGATCATAGGTCCTGGATGGATATCCTCGTGGATTCATCTTCCTATTATACACACATGCATTTCCAAACATTTTGACTACCTGTGTTGCAAATGTATTATCTTTTAAATTTACACACGGCATCTATTGCACGTCTGTCCGTCCTGGGAGAGGGATCCCTCCTCTGTTGCTCTCCCTGAGGTTTCTCCCATGTTCCCTTTAAACTGTGGGTTTTCTCTGGAAGTGTTTCCTTGTACGATGTGAGGGTCTAAGGACAGAGGGTCTTAGGACAGAGGGTCTAAGGACAGAGGTTCTAAGGACAGAGGGTCTAAGGACAGAGGGTGTCGTATTGTCATACTGATATTCTGTACAAACTGTAAAGTCCACTGAGACAAATGTAACATTTGTGATATTGGGCTATATAAATAAACATTGATTGATTGATTGAAGTAAAAAAGTATTAGCTTTAAAAAAGATACTTTAAAGGGGACCTATCATGCAAAATGCACTTTTTGATGTCTTTTATACATAAACATGTGTCCCCGGTGTGTCGGGGAACTCACGCAGCGTCAGAAATTAAAACCCTCTCTCTTTCCCTCCGTACCCAAATCTCTAAAAACACTGATCCAAATTTGCGTCCGATATGACGTCATATCGGAAATGTAGGCTGGCTTTACACCCACGGCCCTATCAGAAAGCTGCTATCAGAAACAATGCCTGACTGTTTTGGACATAATATGGTCGGTGTTTACATTAGCATCGCTAACACTCAGAGCTAACCTGTACTGGAGAGCATGTGTGTGAAGAAGCAGGAAGTAAAAAGGAACTCACCTTGTGGTATAACCGGCAAGAGAGAAAGCCTTTGAGCTCCAAACTGTTTCAGAGAGAATCCTTGATAATCCATGATATGGCGTTTCATCACGGCAGCATTTAGTTAGACAGTAGCTGCCGGGTCCCGCATGAGCTCAGCCCCCTCCTCTTTTATTTGTTATCAATCTTTTTTTTTAAAGCTTTATACCCGAATCAGCACTTTTGATATGAGGCATGGCTAGAATGGATGATCTGTTTGGTATGTTGAGCAAAACACTTCATAGACATGTTTTTTATATATTTGTATATATCTGAGACCTATGCTATTGCCTAAAGATAGCATGATAGGTGACCTTTAAATAAGTGTTCATTATGCAAAATGGACATTTTAAGCACTATATATCTGTAATCATTGTATTCAAATGATTGATACATTCATGTGTTCATCACTTCAGCATTGCGCTTGGTAAAGGTAGGGTTTGTTTGAATAGTGAACTGTATGCACTACTGTGTAACTTAACCTATAATAACATTTAATAATATGTGTCCATTTATATTTAGTATTAATAACCTAAATCTGCGAAGTAGCTTAATATATCAAATACATGTTGTGGAGTAACAGTATAAAGAAGCACAATGTGAAAACACTCAGGTAAAGTACCAAATGTTTTACTGAAGAAAAGTACTTGAGTAAAGATATAGCTGTTCCAGTCTAATCTTTAAACACGTGTTTATTTAAAATCTAGCCAAGCAGAGAAACTTGCTGCATTTCTGTTATCCCCCCTGTGCTGGGTCTCAGTGTTCATGTCAGGAAAGTTCTTTGCAGCTGCATTAAAAACACAATTGACCAAAGCGCCCTTCACACATTCAAGGTCAATGTTTTTCAGCTTTTTCCAGCACATTTCAATTAGCGTATGTTCCGTCTCTGGGCTGAGGCTCCATGAGAGGCCGAGGGGGCAGGATACTGGAGGAGTTATGATCTAACGAGTGGCAGAGACAGTCGCTTTATCCTGAGACAGCAAGAGAACACCTTCATGGCCAATCAGGTCCGGCTAATGAGACGAGATGGGCCAGGACCGTGGCACAACCATTACAGCCACAGTCTGTCAGCACTTTGGTAATGAAGAGAGCACTGAAGGTAAAACTGTGTTAGGAAAGAGAACAAGCATCCATTTAAATCCGGAGGGAAGTTTAGACACAGGAGCATGACAGGAAGTGCTCAAACCATTAAAGAAACTTCCACACAGAAATCAGGATTTATTCTCTACCTGAGCTAAAGGGTTGTTATTTTTTACCACAAGGTCATGTGGTCACTTTGGTTTGTTGTTTTTGTTTGTCTGCAGGATTACAGGCAAACTACTGGTATGATTTTCATGAAACTTGGTGGCTGTACCGTGGAAATCCCATTATATATTTAAGCGGATACAAATCACAAAGCAGATAAACGCATTATTTTTCACTTTCGTATCGCGAGATGGATATTTGGCCCGGCCGGGATTTGCAAAATCTGAGAGTGACCTTTGAGTTTTTTCTGGTTCGCTTTTTTTTAATATTGCAAAAGAAAACAGTGTGGTACAACAATGACAAGAACACCCAAGGACAAACAAAGTTACCTGACTTGATACATGGATATATGTATATTATGTAAACATGCATACTGTATTTATGACATAGCCAACCAAAAGAAAATGTTGAGGAAATTAATTATAAATATTTAGCAGTTACTGAGAATTAAATGACAGAGTGCTTAAGGGGAAATCTGTTAAATAATGCATGCATGTAAATGTGTATGACTGTGTATAAGGGGAAAACTAATACAAACATACAATTATTTAATAAATAATAAAACATGTATAATAAACTTTTCAAAAATAATGTCTTGCGCATCCAAAGAGTAATTCCACTTCTCACCACCAGAGGGCATGCTCTACCTTCTAATGGAGCAGCAGTGTGTGATGGAGCAGCAGAGCTGAACATGCTGTATGGCAGCCTGGTGGATTTCTTTCAACTTTGAAGATTTTGGTTATCAGTGGATGCCAGACTGAGGCTGTACAGTCCTGATATGAAATTCTAATTTGGTCCTGTGGTGCTCTACATCCACACCCAGCTCTGAGCCATATGCATGACATATGCTCACCTGCGACATGTCGGAGCTGATTGTGGATCAGTGTCCCTCCTTCACTCACTCAGGTTATTTTAGCACTTGTTAATGTTCTTTTGCACTACTTTTTTCACTGGCAGTGAATGTCTCTGCTTTTCATTATTGTTATTAAAGCTTTTAAGTCCCGCCTAAAGACCCACCTCTTTTCCCTCGCTTACCAGTCAGTCTGAGCTATGTCATATGCTTTTACTGTCTGTCCATATCCTTTATGTGCCTTGTATTTATTCTTATGTGTGCTTTTTTATCTTTTCTTATGTGTGCCTTTTATCTATTCGTGTAATATTATATTTTATTATAATGTTATGTTCATTGTGAAGCACTTTGGCAAACCCTCTGTTTTTAAACTGTGCTGTATAAATAAAGTGGATTGGATTGTTAGAAAATAGACGAACTCTCTGTAGCGTTGATTGTTTTCATCACTCATTGCTTATTTGGAGGATTAAAGGAAATCAACATTAATGGGTTGGTGAAATGATTGGATAACCCCCCCTTCTCCCCCCACCTGGCCCTTCTTCACTCCATCACTCCATCCGCCATTCTCTGCGATGATATGCATTCATCAACATCTGATTATCTTTCAAAATGTGCAATAGCTTTCTAATGTGACATGGAAATGCAAAGCTTTTAAAAAATAATAGTTTTGCTTGCGTACAGTGTGCCTCCATATGTGTTTCTGTCGTGTGTCAAATCAAATGCTTATGTCTGCGAACGTCTTAGCCTTTATCGTGGTTTCATGTGATAGTGCAGTGCCCTTGAACGCCACTAGGAGACGCACTAAGATAAGAGGATGTTGGTGCATAAAACTCTTTCAGCTATCTGTCAAAACGTTTGTTAGTTAACATTTCCCAACCTCTTAATATCAATTGATTAGGACATTTCACTTCATATATGCAGAAGTCCCTCGCCCAACTCACCACCATACTTTGCATCCCAGAGTGCTTATGGGAGTTAATATGCACCTCGAATTAATCTCAGTGTAATATCCTGTCACGCAAGGCCTTTTTAGGTTATTACAGGATGGCGAAACTGCACCTTGCTTCACTGCGAAAATCCTAATTTCAACCAGTAGATTTCCCTCTATGTGTCGCTGGAACAAGATGTTCACTTGTGTCAGATCTGCTCAACAATTCTCCAGAAATAGGCTACACTAAATGTCATTAATCGGAGTTTAATGTAAATGCTGTATATTTGACATCGAAAGCAACCTGTCACCTTCTATAGATTCTGTCTTGAATATCTCTATGTTACGATTTTTCTGACATCCCCTATCTTCGCCTGTGTGTGTATTTGGAGTTTATATCTCGCCGGTTCCGGGCTGCATTCCTGTACAGTGCAATATGTGAGCCATGAAACAAAAGGCTGTTCGGCGGTGCGCAGCTTTCAGCACCACGCAGGGTGGACAGCGCTCCTGTGTGCGGAAGGACAGCTCCGACACATCAAGTAGGTTCACATAAAAAACAGAGCTTTAAAATTGTTGTGGATATTTACTTTATTGATGGAAGAAAGAGGGGAAGGGTACAGTACATGAGCAATGCGTTACAGAAGCAAATACACTGTGAATGGCTTTCATAAAAAAATCAGACATCCGAAGAAAGGAGGCTCATCTCTTGGCATTCACCGCGTGCCTTAATTGTAAGACATTAAATCAAGGTCCGCTGTGAACACGGAGAGACACAACCCGCTCGTCTGAGTGTGTGTTTGCATGCATGAGTGTGTGTCCAGTTGCATTCACTTTGGAAACGGCCAGACTTTTTTTCCGTAAAACGTGGCATTATTATACAAATATTCAAATAATTCTGAAGCATTTGAGGCTCTTGTTGTATGGCTAAGAACTGTATGACAAGTTTTGCCGAAAATTGGAATAAAGAAAAATCCCAAGTGCGGGTCCAAAGAGATTAAATCCTGTCCCGGTGTTGTACAGGCCTACCGTAATGTGTAAAAAAAAAATCAATTCAACAAGAGGTTATTTTACAGGAATGACTTAAACGCAAAACCATGGGTAGTTTTGCAAAATAACGATACGTCCCAGGCCGAGGGAAATGACTCCTGCTTGATGCTATTTCCGTCGAGTGCTTCGTCCAAAAGCGTAAAAGTCCTCCATTATCCCATAATGCACCTACAAAATAAAAGGAAACACAAAATGCGTCATGAACTTCGTTAAGAATTGCAGGTGATCAAATCTCATATTCCACTTTGACCTGTCAGATGGCGTCCATAAAACCGAAAAAAGTCCACGTCTATAATATTGATTTTCCTATAGTCGCACACGCATTTCTTTCTCCCACACACACACACGCCTGCAGCCTCTACTTGCTGTTCTGTCGCAAATCGCAAACGGGGCAGCTGAAGAGGTAACTGCAGTTGTCCTGAACACACTGGCAAAGTGTGTGTATGTGTGTGTGTGTGTGTGTGTGTGTGTGTGTGTGTGTGTGTGTGTGTGTGTGTGTGTGTGTGTGTGTGTGTGTGTGTGTGTGTGTGTGTGTGTGTGTGTGTGTGTGTGTGTGTGCGTCCCAACTGAAGGCAGCACCGACTAATGGGACTGATCCCTCTCCGTCCCGTCTTTCCCTCTGACTTTGGGATTAATGGTGCTCCAGCCAAACAAATGAGGCATCTGCCTTCAGCACAAGAGGATTGGGATGAGGGGGGGTCATAGGAGGGGGGGTTATAGGAGGGGGGTGCTGACGTCACCGGGCAAACAGATGTTCCTCTATATTACCCAGCGTCCTCCTCATGACTACCCGGTGCCCTTGAAACTAGGAGGGAAATTGACGACTTCCTATTTGGAGTATTATCGCCAAAATGTGTTAATAGTTCTGCATTTGTGTGTGTGTGTGTGTGTGTGTGTGTGTGTGTGTGTGTGTGTGTGTGTGTGTGTGTGTGTGTGTGTGTGTGTGTGTGTGTGTGTGTGTGTGTGTGTGTGTGTGTGTGTGTGTGTGTGTGTGTGTGTGTGTGTGTGTTTGTACGGGCCGGCAGAGGAAATGCCAACAATGGCTCCAAATTGTGAAGCCCTAAATCTGGCGTTGGCTGTGATCGGTTATGCAACATTGCACTATTCGAAAAAAAAGAGAACACGCGTGTACGTAGCCTGCACGAGCACACACTAACTACAGGCACGGGCATACGCACATGCACTCCTTTCCGTGCACACACACAGGGATGAGGGAGGGATGCTGCTGTTTGATGGGAGTGCAGTTTGGTTTACTGTATTCAACTCGATTTAATGAGCTGATTTTTAGTTGCTGGAATAAGATGTAAAATAGACACTAACAGTATTTTAACGGAGACGTACGTTTTATGCTTGGAAATTACTTTATTAGATTATTTTATGTAGGCTGAGATCCATATTGAATCCATTATAATCTGCAGCGATGCAGACAGAGCCTATGTATTTGCATATTGGTTAAAAACTGCTGAAATGGCGTGAAGTCAGTGCTGTGATCATCATTAGGAGTCCCACAGTGCACCTGCTATCCTGCCTGATCCTGATCCCCTGAGCTCAGAATACACTGAGACCAGTTCTGACAGTTTCTCCATTAAAGAGCACAATCCGCTGGTGTTAAAGCAGTGTGGAGAGCACGAAGAGGCGCAGGCTCGCAGATATGGTAATTGCAATGCATTACCCACTCGCTATAACAGAGAGGAGAGGGATGCAGAAACAAAGGGAAACGCCATTTTAGACGGAAACGTCCCCCATCCCCTGAACACCCACCGACTCTCTTATATCTGCCCATGTTTCGGAGCTTCTCTTCGGCTCAGCACAGCACCATGTCTCGGGTCTCTCTCTGGATCTGGACACCGACAGCACCACGACCCCTATTGTCCTTATAAGCACCGCGCAACGAACAAACGATGTTCCTCAGAAACCCACCGTCCCCTTTACCCTTTTGACTGATTATGCAACCGTCGACTCACAAAATGAAAACCCCACGCGTGATTATCGATGTTTTCTCGCCTTTTTGTCCCTTTAGTGGTTCATTCCCTAAAGCCCGCAATAACAATGGCAAGTGCATCGTGTAAGGGGGGAGCGTACATCTCTGCAGAAATGATCAACATTGTCCTCTAATCATTCAAAAATACACATTCTACTAACGTTTGAAGTAAAGATACATATTCTTCCTCTTAATAATTGATCAAAGGGTCGAGCATAAGGCAAATACTCACCATGGTTTGCTCCACGCCATATGGTGGGTCCCAGAACACTGAGCACTGCCTGTATGTATCCGTGATCTGCTGTTCAGCCTTAACTCACTATGAGCACTAATACTGGACTGCAGGTGTTTGCATCCCGGAGGCTTGTATTCCCGGGTCCTGTCGGTGTGTAGCGGACCCTCCGGTCGGTGAGGAGCTGAGAGCAGCACTGAGAGAAGAGCTGGAGCCTCTGCAAAGCATGGCTGCGCTCTCTGGTTTTTTTTCAAAAGAGGGCAGGTCGTTCTGTGCATTACAATCAAATCTCTCTCTCTCCCTCTCTCTCCTCACGTGCACGCGCTTTTATACATACAAATGCGCGCTCACTCACACAAATATACCACCTCTATCTGGAAAATCATACATGTCTGAGAGTTTTGTGTTATATCTCCGCTCTAGTATCTCCATGCATGTTGTAGTTGTTAAATGCTTTTCAATGTAACAATGCACAGTGGGCCTGTTCTAGTTTTATACTTTCAGCAATAACTAAATCATCTGCTGAAGCTCTACGTTAGGAGTGTAGCCGGTCACATTTATCATGTGTAATGCCGTTTGTCTGGAGAGGTCCATTAGTGCGTTTCACACATCAGGCCGGACTGCATCTCGGTTTCTATGTTAGACCGAGGGCCTATTTTCTGTATGTTACTGCAAGAATAAGAGGGAATGTTCTGTAATGTGCCGTTGGTCATTGCTCCTTGTTTTGCTGTTGGACTTAACTTCACATTTGTATTTCTATTCGCACATTTATTGAGCTCTTCCCTTCACATGTGAACATAAAGAATGTATTTCTGCTGCTGATTAAACGCTGTGGCAACCATTGATTGAAGCAAGTGTCAGTGCTGCTCTGCTCTCTGTATCCCCTTCGTTGTCGTGATTGACTCCCAGCCAGGCAAATGTCCAATCGGAGGGCCCCCGTGTATGATGTCACCTGACTAACCTCACTCACCCTGTAGCCGAGGCAAAAGCCCACTAATGCCTGCTTACCTCCAGACTATTAATACACCTGATTCCAGCATTAGAAATAACCTGCAGGTGTTGTCAACGTGCTGTTTTCTTGGAGTTCTCGCCTCCTTGTCTTCTCACAGTTTCACTCTGTTACTGTTGTTCTGTTTCTCTGTTACACTTTGACGGCTGCAGTGATGATGCAACGTTGACGCGTGATGCAAGATAGGCGCCCCATGCACTAACATCGTTAACGTTTTGTCATAATTTCCCTTCTTTATTGGAAGGGTTAGAGGGAAAGTGTGGCGGGCCTTGCGTCAGGCTCCATGCAGGGGGACGTTTGGAAGCCGCTTTCTCTTAGCATAGAGCGGGGGGGGGGGGGGCGCTATTGTTCCCGCTGAAACAATGGGAGCTGCGGGGCGACATGCAGCGGTGCGCACATGAATGGCAGGGGCTCTGGATGTGTTTGGGTCAGTGGCCCGGGGTCTCCGTCCCAAAGCCCCTTTCCCAGCGCCTCACAATGAACCCGCACAAGGTCGAGGCTCCTGGGGGTCACAGGCCAGCCCCTTTTGTCCTGCACTTCACAACACATACACATTTATTAAGCAAGAGTTAGCGGCCCCCTGTTAAAAAAAAAAGAAGAAGGAAAAAAAGGAGGGCGAGAGGGGTTGGCGAAAAGGGGGGGAAGAAAGAAATAACTAGTGGCTGCAGAGGCAAATTCCATCATTTGGACCGAGGTGGAAGTTTGTAAAAGTTGTAGAGGAAGTTGGGGCTCTGCGGATGGAAACACACGCTAAGTAAGACTGGATTTGGAGTCCTTATTAAACCACCGTCCATCTGTCTCTCTGCTGTTGGATATGCGTCCCTGGAATGGGATTTCTGACGTGTTGTTCTCCACACCTGAGGACTCTAAGAAGGAAACGGGGGTATAACTGCCTGCAACAGCACTGAGCCGATGTGACGAAACTGCATAAAATAATGTAGTCGGTGGCAGCGCGTTATCATAGTGAAGAGCATTCGTTGACATCCAAACACAAGGAGCCACGAGGACCGAAACGCCCTTTACATGCACTACATTTCTTTACGCGGAAGTATACAAAACTACATCGAAATGCTGTTTGTCTGTATTCATGCATTTTTCATCGAACAGTTTTTTGGAAATCCTAAAGCAGGCCTTTCTCTGTCCACACAACTGTTTTCACTACATTATAAAAATAACTTAATTTTTCTCAAGACTAAATAACATGTAGGAAATCAGCGTGCATTCATTTAAATTGAGACATCACTAAGCACCGGTGTCACGGATTGGAAATCGAAAGGAAAATGTGTGTGTATGAAACTGCAGCTGAACACGCTGGGAGTTGCATCAGTTTTAGAAGCTTTAATAACCGCAGCCTTTCCTTCAAGCCCCCCCTTTATATTTTGCATCATACATCAGGCCTCCCCCTCCCCCAGCCTCACTGCCTAAACGATGCTGCTCTGGGTACTGGAATATTCTCGTTTGATTTGTTGAAATATTTAACCTCATTATTTTGTCAAGTTGCCATTGAAACTCGTCCTATAAAATATGCTAACATTTGTGTGTAAAGTCATAATTAGATTTGACTGGAGAACAGGAAGTTGTTTTGGAAGTTGAATATTTTAACTTGTGTACAAATTGTTAGTGATGAATGTCAGGCAGCAAGTAAAAAATATTAGTATAATTGTTTTAACATATTCTAATTTGTTTTAGGTGTTATTTAATTTTCCTAAAGTTGGAAATAGTTATCTCTGTCTGAAATCAAAAATATTCTTCTTCTATTGTTACATAAGCAACACATAAACATTCCTGCGGGGTCATGTTCTGTATTTTCATAGTAATATAGACATATTAGGAATATTTAATTGTGGAAAAAGTGTCGTTATATAATGAAAATTCCATGCAATCACTTTATTTCCAAATATAAATTACATACAGAACCATAAGAACCTTTTTCATGTATTAACTTCTTTCTACAGAGCATTTGTATCAATACTTATTGAAAACAAATGAATTCATTTAAATATTCCACGCATTCATCCTATTTGTATTGGCATTTCTGTCTGTGGCTGAAAATTGCTTTTGGGGATGAAAATCAATTTCAAAGAGTTTGTAATGATTAATGAATGCAAATTCAACATTGCTCCACAGAGTTTACACGGTTCTCTTTTACAGCAAAGTGTGTTGTTTTTAATGGCAACCATGCAGACATTGTAGTTATAAGCCCCTTTTTTTAAATCAAATCACATTTTTGCCTCTTCATTATCTGTATTTCATCATCTGTAAGGCGTTTGATATTAAAATGACTTCTTGTGTAATCTAAAAACGCAGATTATTTGTGTCACAATGCTCTCTGTGCCACCAGTCCTGACCCGCAGTGAATAGACTCCAGAATCCTAGATCCGGCTTTGTTTCAGGACATGACCTCATTGCATTATTTTTTTTCTCCCCCAAACAAATCCTGACGGTAACGTGTGCCTTCTTAGCCCGAGCAGGGACAGTACACTCCCCGAGCGAACATCAAACAGCAGTTGTTATTTCATGGTTGCGTGCAAGCAGAACCAGGTCAGCTGCACTATTACAGGCCTGCTGGCTGTGTCCTCCACAGGCTGCGTCTCCTCGTACAGAGACTCAGCTTTCTGCACTCTACAATCATTCTTTTATAGCTTTATTAAATCCACACATTTAACAATACCTGTTCTTTCAGATTACAGAGGAGAATTTATCTGAGAGGATGTTTGGTAAAATAATCTAGGTATGTCATTTTGCGTGGGTGGTTTGTGATTTGACTTAGTCTGGGTACATGTTTTCTCGTAGAATGCTATTGATGAAGCCTTTTTTTCGATACTATCATACAAAATCAAACATATATTTTACAGTAGCCACCTTAACCTGCATTGTAGTCCATTAAACAACATGAATGTTAACTAGAATTGATATTTGAGATAAAAGACACCGCTATTAAACATGAAACCTGGCTGTAATCACTGAGCATACTTTCTACTTTACACCCTTAGAGTGTATTGTGTTACTGGAGCGAGGATGAGTGTGTGGGACCTTCCCCCTCTGACATTAGCAGGGGGTCAAATGTGCATGTAGGGCACCTGGCTCTCCACCTCCCCTCTCTCTGTGATGTTAAATGTCAGCCAGCAGCATCCACAGAAAGCAAGGTGAGCCTCCATTCTAATGCTTAGGCCCGGACATTATCACGTCTGACTCCAAAAGCCATGTTTCTCCTGTGTCGGGCAATTAAAGCTTGAGGGAGCTTCACCGAATCATTAACCTAGGGATTTCCTTTCAGTGGTGTGCTGAAAGAAAACCCCCTGGTTTTATTGGGAAATGAAGGCGACTATCTTTGATTTGTCTCCAGGTGTGTATTAACAGCTGTGTGTGTCTTTAAATGTAGCAACGTGTAAACAAGCAGTAATTGAATTAAACAATAGATTAATTCTATTCACAGGTGCGCCTTTCCGCTCTAATGGCTTGTTTTCCAGCGCCACCGCCTCACATTTCCTCCAAATAGCTGCAGCAGAAGTAATATGATCAGATTTTACAAGACACAGTGTAGATACATATTTAGTTCAATAACTGCATCGCGCGTTATCCAATTGTTCTCCGACTCCAGATCCAGATGCCGTCCTATAGGTGCACGTGAGGTTAGATGTAAATCTGTGGGAGAAGCGTTCCTCGCTCAGAAATGGCAGCAGACAGGACCTTCCCCTGTTCCCTAATACAAAGCCTATTGAGGCCAATCAGGCCAATCAGCAGGTCTGATTTCCAGGCTTGTAAGTGGATTTCTCCCATACCCCCAAGGTTTGTGAAATGGGGGTCAATGGGTCTGTTATTGTTTTTCTCTGCCTCTTTATCCCCACATAGCTCTGTGATGTCAACAGTGAAATAACGGAGATAGCTGGGCCCTGAAAAAAAAAAAATCCCGGAGAGGAAATAACTGCTATTATGATGTGTGTGTGTGTGTGTGTGTGTGTGTGTGTGTGTGTGTGTGTGTGTGTGTGTGTGTGTGTGTGTGTGTGTGTGTGTGTGTGTGTGTGTGTGTGTGTGGGTGTGTGTGTGTGTGTGTGTGTCTGCTCTCAACGGGGCTTCAATTGTTCCAGTGGGCTAGGATGCGTCCCCATATGAAGGAGGGGGAAGAGGTAAATATCACTTATCCCCAACAGTTTGAAATGAAACAGCAGCAG